TTGACAATAACCCAGAAATTATCAATAATATCTGTTCCAATATCGAATCCCAACTCGAATCCTAACTCGAATCCTAACTCGAATCCTAACTCTGTTGTTAGTTTGTCTCATGGCTGTATTATACAGCCATTTGCAAAAATTATGGCCGTTTCAAATATACATACAAGTATATCAAAAGTATATCAGACACGGCGGGATATCTTTCTTGATATTTTTTTGGAAAGCCCTAGTGATAGACAACTCGAAAAAAATATCAGGGATGATATCTCACATATCCCATCAGACGTTTATAATATGAAATAAATGAGTTATATTACTCCCATAAAAGTGAATGGTTTACCTTTTTCTTTCTCTGCAACCACTAGGCGCACATAATGTGGTAGATCGCTAGATTCATCGTCACTGATGCTTGCAATGTATTCATTAGTGTCATTGATAGTAAGGTTCTTCAACACAAACCAAGCACGGCCTATTGTCAAGTTTCCAAGAAATTCTACTCTTCTTTTCAACGTGTCGCCAATATCTTTGTTTTTGGTCATCCTTCCATTATATGAGTTAACACTGATAAACTGAGGATCGGGGATGGTGCCCTTTCTTATTCCCCAGCTGGCAGAAAGGATTTTTTTTTGATCCGTCGTATTCCACATAAACGAGGCATCTTCTCCAATATAACCTTTGATATGTGTTGGACCCTTTATGGAGTTTTCTTTGTCAAAAAGAAGAAAATTATAAGGCATTGACATATGTTTGCTGTTATATGGTAACATTGAGCTGCTGTCTGCAATAATAACTGTATTACATGAAATAAATCCGTAGATGACAAAGCATAAGGAAGGTAGCAAATTCATTAACATATAAAGTTTGTAATGGCAGGCACACGACTAACATGGTTGTATTCAAAGCACCACTACTAGCTTAAAGCAAACATTTTTCTGTTTCTCATATCATTTTGATTACAAAGCGCAAATACGAAAAATCTGAGAAGATGCATACATATGCTGGAAACATATACAAATTTTTAGACCCTCTCTTATGATTAAATAGAAAGAGCCGACTTCATAAGCTACAAATTGTTTTTAAATTCAAAATCGCGGATATTACATACACCTACTGCTGAATTCGACTGAMTCCGTGTAGATTGTGTTCGTATTGCAATTTATGTATTCAGTCTATCGATATACAAAGACACGTCATTTGGACACAAAAATATTGAAAATTAAAGACATTCTTAACCTTGCTGAACGATTTCGAATAAGGTTAAGGATACACGGAACACAATTTTCGTCAAATAACTTTTTTTTTTTGAAACCATGCTATATCAAATATAAAAGTAAAATCTTTAATTTTATATATAAATTAAGTTAACTTTTTTATTATTAAGGGAGATATTTGTAAAAAAGCATCTTTAGAAGTTACCAGTAGGTGTTGTGCTGTTGACAGGAACTCTCATTTATCTATTCACCGGAAGTCGATTGATCCAAGTAAGTTTGACGTCACGAGCATTGTCGAGCCGTAGCAGTGAAAACATATCGAGCTGTAAACGAGGACTCGACTAAGTGAACGATCGAACAAATTATATCATATTTACAGAGTTTAGCTATTTATCAAGATTGATTACTTCTACTAGATTTCTTCAGTTTTGTTTTTAATTCTTTCGTGGGATATCAGCGTTGGTAGATGCCTCGTAAGCAAAAGAGAAATCCTTTCTGTGGAGGTTCCAACAAAAGGAAAAGAAGACGTAGCTCCACAGCATTCTGTCATGAGAATGCAAAATCACTCTCTTTGAGCGACAAAGGCTCTTACTATAAGAGAGAAGAGCTTCTTAAGCGAAGTGATAGTGCCAGTGCTAGTGCCAAGAAGCTTCTAGGCCGAAGCGAAGACGAATAATTGAACCAGGCATCGAAGGAAGAAGAGGGAGAAGAAGAACGACAAAACATCCTGTTGTTCTCTGGTTTGCTCAGCATTTCGCCCTCGGCCTCTTCCTCGGCCCCTTCCTCGGCCCCCCTCAGTTGAACTAGATGTTCGAC